TTTCAAGTGATTTTTGTGCACGATTACAATACTTTCTCTATACTTCGTATATACGAGAAAGTAAAAATGGGAAATTTTGTAACTTGTAACTTTTGGCTCTTTTCGTCTCAAAAGATTGCCGACCCCTGGTCTAACCGAATCTCTCGGAAATCAACTATTATTTGGCTTACAGTATCTGTCCACCAAAGGACAGTAACTCAACATTATTTCAAGTAGATCTTATTTAAGGGCGGTATTGTCCCTTTGATAAAAATAGGTATTGACATTTTATTGCATTATAAATATCTAATTTATGTTTTAATTGTTTTAAATTTAAAAAAAATATGCTTATTAATTTGAATTATGTTTTGATCCTAAGTTTTGTTATGTAATGAGCGTGATAAATGTGGGCAGTAAAGGTGGTTGAACTAAGCATAACTATTGTTGCGATGAGTTGAGGGCAGTAATTCAGATGACCTTACCATTTCACGGTAATTTAATTTAAAAAAAAAAACACGATGAAAACCGTGGAATTCTATTAAATGCTATACATATTATGTTTAACATAATTACAATCTACATAATTCATACTAAATATTTTTAGCTGAATTATAAAAATTACTATACGTATACAACCTACACACATTACATTACATTTAATTAATCTTAAGTTAATTTGCACTCTCTGAATATTTAATACATAAAAGAATTAACAAATCCCATGCAAATATATATTTCTGACTTTTTTTCCTGTGACTTTTTTTCCTGTGACTTTTTTTCCTGTGACTTTTTTTCTGTGTTTTTTTTTCCTGTGTTTTTTTTTCCTGTGACTTTTTTTCCTACAATCATTCTAACAACCGAGCTATGCTTTGAAAGCGCGAAATGTTGATAGAGTCTTTCAGAGAGTGGTTGTTGTTTGTAAAGGGGGCTACGAATCGGTTGCCGTTTGATGCTATTTATCCAATCCCCGACACAAACAACTTCAAACGTCATTGACAAAAATAGCAATTTTATATTTAAATATTTGTTACTCCTGGGGAGGTATCTGCGGATTTTTTAAAAATTCGCAGGGGTGGCGCCCCGACAGGGGGGCGATTTGTTTTTTCTTTAAAAACTGAATATAAAAAAAATGAAGTCGATTGCGGTTTGACACCGTTCATCCTATCGCCTTCAAACTTTTGGGAGCTGATTAGAACACTCCAGGGAAGGTTTCTTGAAAAAAAATTTTTTTTTAAAATTTCGCATGGGTGGCGCCCCCTGACGGTGCGATTCTTCTCTACATACGATGTATTAAAAAAATGAAAGACGGATGCGGTTCGACACCGTTTATTCGAGTGCCATAGAATTTTGGGGAGTTGATGAGAATACTCATGAGAAGTTTTTTTATGGGGGGGGGGGGATAATTTCACACGGGCGGTCCCCGACAGGATGCGATTTGGCGCCCTGGTCTTTCGCGTGAGCGCTATGGCGCCTACGTTCCTTACAGTCATTCGCTAAGGCGCGTTCTCTGGCGCCTAGACAGAGTGCAATTTGGCGTCTCTGGCTATTCCATGAGCACTTTGGCGCCTACGTTCGTTTTAAACATTGCGAAAGACAATGCATAAGGTTGGGATTCCATAGTCGATTACTACAAATAACCAGTAATAAAACTAATTAAAAATTGCCGGCGCACCGACAGGGTGCGATTTGGCGTCCTGGGCTTAATTGGGCGGTAGTGTAGGAAACCCGTGCCCCGATAAATATGATCCAAGCACAGGCAATGTTTGCACTAAAATAACTCAGTTTTAGAAAACAAGGTCTAGGAATATCACCAAATCCCGAAGATGTAGGCCTATCTTTTATCACAGAACCGGTCAACAACCAGACACCCGGCCAGACAACCAGACACCCGGCCAGACAACCAGACACCCGGCCAGACAACCAGACAACCTGCCAGACAACCAGACAACCAGACAACCGGTCCGACACCCGGCCAGACAACCAGACACCCGACCAGACAACCAGACACCCGGCCAGACAACCAGACACCCGGACAGACAACCAGACAACCAGACACCCGGTCCGACACCCGGCCAGACAACCAGACACCCGACCAGACAACCAGACAACCAGACACCCGGTCCGACACCCGGCCAGACAACCAGACACCCGACCAGACAACCAGACAACCAGACAACCAGACAACCAGACAACCGGTCAGACACCCGGCCAGACAACCAGACACCCGGCCAGACAACCAGACAACCAGACAACCTGCCAGACAACCAGACAACCAGACAACCTGCCAGACAACCAGACAACCAGACACCCGGTCCGACACCCGGCCAGACAACCAGACAACCAGACACCCGGCCAGACAACCAGACACCCGGCCAGACAACCAGACAACCAGACAACCTGCCAGACAACCAGACAACCAGACAACCTGCCAGACAACCAGACAACCAGACACCCGGTCCGACACCCGGCCAGACAACCAGACACCCGGCCAGACAACCAGACACCCGGCCAGACAACCAGACACCCGGCCAGACAACCAGACACCCGGCCAGACAACCAGACAACCAGACACCCTGCCAGACAACCAGACAACCAGACACCCGACCAGACAACCAGACAACCAGACAACCAGACAACCGGTCAGACACCCGGCCAGACAACCAGACAACCGGCAAGACAACCAGACAACCAGACACCCGGCCAGACAACCAGACTACCGGCCAGACAACAAGACAACCAGACAACCAGACACCCGGCCAGACAACCAGACAACCAGACACCCGGACAGACACTCGGCCAGACACCCGGCCAGACAACCAGACACCCGACCAGACAACCAGACAACCAGACAACCAGACACCCAGCCAGACACCCGGCGAGACACCCGGCCAGACACCCGACCAGACAACCAGACAACCAGACACCCGACCAGACAACTAGACAACCACACAACCAGACAACCAGACACCCGGCCAGACACCCGGCCAGACAACCAGACACCCGACCAGACAACCAGACAACCAGACAACCAGACACCCGGCCAGACACCCGGCCAGACACCCGGCCAGACAACAAGACAACCAGACACCCGGCCAGACAACCAGACAACCAGACACCCGGCCAGACACCCGGCCAGACAACCAGACACCCGACCAGACAACCAGACACCCGGCCAGACAACCAGACACCCGGCCAGACAACCAGACACCCGACCAGACAACCAGACACCCGACCAGACAACTAGACAACCACACAACCAGACAACCAGACACCCGGCCAGACACCCGGCCAGACAACCAGACAAACAGACACCCGGCCAGACACCCGGCCAGACAACCAGACACCCGGCCAGACAACCAGACACACGACCAGACAACCAGACACCCGGCCAGACAACCAGACACCCGGCCAGACAACCAGACACCCGGCCAGGCAACCAGACAACCAGACCACCGGCCAGACACCCGGCCAGACAACCAGACACCCGACCAGACAACCAGACACCCGGCCCGACAACCAGACACCCGGCCAGGCAACCAGACACCCGGCCAGACAACCAGACACCCGGCCAGACAACCAGACACCCGGCCAGGCAACCAGACAACCAGACACCCGGCCAGACACCCGGCCAGACAACCAGACACCCGACCAGACAACCAGACACCCGGCCAGGCAACCAGACAACCAGACACCCGGCCAGACACCCGGCCAGACAACCAGACACCCGACCAGACAACCAGACACCCGGCCAGACAACCAGACACCCGGCCAGACAACCAGACACCCGGCCAGACAACCAGACACCCGGCCAGACACCCGACCAGACAACCAGACACCCGGCCAGACACCCGGCCAGACAACCAGACACCCGACCAGACAACCAGACAACCAGACAACCGGTCCGACACCCGGCCAGACAACCAGACACCCGACCAGACAACCAGACAACCAGACAACCAGACACCCGGCCAGACAACCAGACAACCAGACACCCGGACAGACACCCGGCCAGACAACCAGACACCCGGCCAGACAACCAGACACCCGGCCAGAGAACCAGACAACCAGACACCCGGCCAGACAACCAGACACCCGGCCAGACAACCAGACAACCAGACACCCGACCAGACAACCACACACCCGGCCAGACAACCAGACACCCGGCCAGACAACCACACACCCGGCCAGACAACCAGACACCCGGCCAGACACCCGGCCAGACAACCAGACACCCGGCCAGGCAACCAGACACCCGGCCAGACAACCAGACAACCAGACAACCTGCCAGACAACCAGACAACCAGACAACCGGTCGGACACCCGGCCAGACAACCAGACACCCAGACACCCGGCCAGACAACCAGACACCCAGCCAGACAGCCAGACAACCAGACACCCGGCCAGACAACCAGACACCCGGCCAGACAACCAGACACCCGGCCAGACAACCAGACACCCGGCCAGACAACCAGACAACCAGACACCCGGCCAGACAACCAGACACCCGACCAGACAACCAGACAACCAGACAACCAGACACCCGACCAGACAACCAGACAAGCAGACAACCGGTCCGACACCCGGCCAGACAACCAGACAACCTGACACCCGGCCAGACAACCAGACACCCGGCCAGACAACCAGACAACCAGACACCCGACCAGACAACCAGACAACCAGACACCCGGCCAGACACCCGGCCAGACAACCAGACACCCGACCAGACAACCAGACAACCGGTCCGACACCCGGCCAGACAACCAGACAACCAGACACCCGGCCAGACAACCAGACACCCGGCCAGACAACCAGACAACCAGACACCCGGCCAGGCAACCAGACACCCGGCCAGACAGCCAGACACCCGGCCAGACAACCAGACAACCAGACACCCGGACAGACAACCAGACAACCAGACACCCGGCCAGACAACCAGACACCCGGACAGACAACCAGACACCCGGACAGACAACCAGACAACCGGCTAGACAGCCTGTGGAAAAATGAAGACAACAACTGTATGTAATTGGACCAGTTTAATAAGACAACATAGATTTCACAGATATGGGAGGTAATGCACTAATGTAAGCGCAGCAACAATTTATTTTTTGGTTATTTCCCTTTTATTGTGTCTACAAGTTCCCGTCAGCCTGTTCCATCAGAGGCGTGGTCGGCTGGGGGCACACCTGAACCAGGGGCGTGGTTGCCAGGGGACACGCCTGTAGCTCGAATGTATCCTGGGGGTAAAGTGTTACAGATGTATAGGTTTACAGGTGTGTTAGAGTTGTATAGGTTTACAGGAGTGTTACAGATGTATAGGTTTACAGGAGTGTTACAGATGTATAGGTTTACATGAGTGTTACAGATGTATAGGTTTACAGGAGTGTTAGAGATGTATAGGTTTACAGGAGTGTTAGAGTTGTATAGGTTTACATGAGTGTTAGAGTTGTATAGGTTTACAGGAGTGTTACAGATGTATAGGTTTACAGGAGTGTTAGAGTTGTATAGGTTTACAGGAGTGTTAGAGTTGTATAGGTTTACAGGAGTGTTACAGATGTATAGGTTTACAGGACAGGAGTGTTACAGATGTATAGGTTTACAGGAGTGTTAGAGTTGTATAGGTTTACAGGAGTGTTAGAGTTGTATAGGTTTACAGGAGTGTTACAGATGTATAGGTTTACAGGACAGGAGTGTTACAGATGTATAGGTATACAGGAGTGTTAGAGTTGTATAGGTTTACAGGAGTGTTACAGATGTATAGGTTTACAGGAGTGCTACAGATGTATAGGTTTACAGGTGTGTTACAGATGTATAGGTTTACATGAGTGTTAGAGTTGTATAGGTTTACAGGTGTGTTACAGATGTATAGGTTTACAGGAGTGTTACAGATGTATAGGTTTACAGGTGTGTTAGAGTTGTATAGGTTTACAGGAGTGTTAGAGTTGTATAGGTTTACAGGTGTGTTACAGATGGAGTGTTACAGATGTATAGGTTTATAGGAGTGTTACAGATGTATAGGTTTACAGGACAGGAGTGTTACAGATGTATAGGTTTACAGGTGTGCTACAGATGTATAGGTTTACAGGTGTAGAGTTGTATAGGTTTACAGATGTGTTACAGATGGAGTGTTACAGATGTATAGGTTTATAGGAGTGTTACAGATGTATAGGTTTACAGGACAGGAGTGTTACAGATGTATAGGTTTACAGGTGTGCTACAGATGTATAGGTTTACAGGTGTGTTACAGATGTATAGGTTTACTGGAGTGTTACAGATGTATAGGTTTACAGGAGTGTTACAGATGTATAGGTTTACAGGAGTGTTACAGATGCATAGGTTTACAGGACAGGAGTGTTACAGATGTATAGGTTTACTGGAGTGTTACAGATGTATAGGTTTACAGGAGTGTTAGAGTTGTATAGGTTTACAGGAGTGTTACAGATGTATAGGTTTACAGGTGTGTTAGAGTTGTATAGGTTTACAGGAGTGTTAGAGTTGTATAGGTTTACAGGTGTGTTACAGATGGAGTGTTACAGATGTATAGGTTTACAGGAGTGTTACAGATGTATAGGTTTACAGGAGTGTTAGAGTTGTATAGGTTTACAGGTGTGTTACAGATGTATAGGTTTACAGGAGTGCTACAGATGTATAGGTTTACAGGAGTGTTACAGATGTATAGGTTTACAGGAGTGTTACAGATGTATAGGTTTACAGGTGTGTTACAGATGTATAGGTTTACAGGAGTGTTAGAGTTGTATAGGTTTACAGGAGTGTTACAGATGTATAGGTTTACAGGAGTGTTACAGATGTATAGGTTTACAGGAGTGTTAGAGTTGTATAGGTTTACAGGAGTGTTACAGATGTATAGGTTTACAGGAGTGTTAGAGTTGTATAGGTTTACAGGTGTGTTAGAGTTGTATAGGTTTACAGGAGTGTTAAAGATGTATAGGTTTACAGGACAGGAGTGTTACAGATGTATAGGTTTACAGGAGTGTTAGAGTTGTATAGGTTTACAGGTGTGTTACAGATGTGTAGGTTTACAGGTGTGTTACAGATGTATAGGTTTACAGGAGTGTTAGAGTTGTATAGGTTTACAGGTGTGTTACAGATGTATAGGTTTACAGGAGTGTTACAGATGTATAGGTTTACAGGAGTGTTACAGATGTATAGGTTTACAGGACAGGAATGTTACAGATGTATAGGTTTACAGGAGTGTTAGAGATGTATAGGTTTACAGGACAGGAGTGTTACAGATGTATAGGTTTACAGGTGTGTTAGAGTTGTATAGGTTTACAGGAGTGTTACAGATGTATAGGTTTACAGGAGTGTTACAGATGTATAGGTTTACATGAGTGTTACAGATGTATAGGTTTACAGGAGTGTTAGAGATGTATAGGTTTACAGGAGTGTTAGAGTTGTATAGGTTTACATGAGTGTTAGAGTTGTATAGGTTTACAGGAGTGTTACAGATGTATAGGTTTACAGGAGTGTTAGAGTTGTATAGGTTTACAGGAGTGTTAGAGTTGTATAGGTTTACAGGAGTGTTACAGATGTATAGGTTTACAGGACAGGAGTGTTACAGATGTATAGGTTTACAGGAGTGTTAGAGTTGTATAGGTTTACAGGAGTGTTAGAGTTGTATAGGTTTACAGGAGTGTTACAGATGTATAGGTTTACAGGACAGGAGTGTTACAGATGTATAGGTATACAGGAGTGTTAGAGTTGTATAGGTTTACAGGAGTGTTACAGATGTATAGGTTTACAGGTGTGTTACAGATGTATAGGTTTACATGAGTGTTAGAGTTGTATAGGTTTACAGGTGTGTTACAGATGTATAGGTTTACAGGAGTGTTACAGATGTATAGGTTTACAGGTGTGTTAGAGTTGTATAGGTTTACAGGAGTGTTAGAGTTGTATAGGTTTACAGGTGTGTTACAGATGGAGTGTTACAGATGTATAGATTTATAGGAGTGTTACAGATGTATAGGTTTACAGGACAGGAGTGTTACAGATGTATAGGTTTACAGGTGTGCTACAGATGTATAGGTTTACAGGTGTAGAGTTGTATAGGTTTACAGATGTGTTACAGATGGAGTGTTACAGATGTATAGGTTTATAGGAGTGTTACAGATGTATAGGTTTACAGGAGTGTTAGAGTTGTATAGGTTTACAGGAGTGTTAGAGTTGTATAGGTTTACAGGTGTGTTACAGTTGTATAGGTTTACAGGTGTGTTACAGATGTATAGGTTTACAGAAGTGTTACAGATGTATAGGTTTACTGGAGTGTTACAGATGTATAGGTTTACAGGAGTGTTACAGATGTATAGGTTTACAGGGGTGTTACAGATGTATAGGTTTACAGGAGTGTTAGAGTTGTATAGGTTTACAGGTGTGCTACAGATGTATAGGTTTACAGGAGTGATACAGTTGTATAGGTTTACAGGTGTGTTACAGTTGTATAGGTTTACAGGTGTGTTACAGATGTATAGGTTTACAGAAGTGTTACAGATGTATAGGTTTACTGGAGTGTTACAGTTGTATAGGTTTACAGGATTGTTACAGATGTATAGGTTTACAGGGGTGTTACAGATGTATAGGTTTACAGGACAGGAGTGTTACAGATGTATAGGTTTACAGGAGTGTTACAGATGTATAGGTTTACAGGAGTGTTACAGATGTATAGGTTTACAGGAGTGTTAGAGTTGTATAGGTTTACAGGAGTGTTAGAGTTGTATAGGTTTACAGGAGTGTTAGAGTTGTATAGGTTTACAGGGGTGTTACAGATGTATAGGTTTACAGGAGTGTTAGAGTTGTATAGGTTTACAGGAGTGTTAGAGTTGTATAGGTTTACAGGAGTGTTACAGATGTATAGGTTTACAGGTGTGTTACAGATGTATAGGTTTACAGGACAGGAGTGTTACAGATGTAAACGTTTACAGGTGTGTTACAGATGTATAGGTTTACAGGAGTGTTAGAGTTGTATAGGTTTACAGGACAGGAGTGTTACAGATGTATAGGTTTACAGGAGTGTTACAGATGTATAGGTTTACAGGAGTGTTAGAGTTGTATAGGTTTACAGGAGTGTTACAGATGTATAGGTTTACAGGTGTGTTAGAGTTGTATAGGTTTACAGGAGTGTTAGAGATGTATAGGTTTACAGGAGTGTTACAGTTGTATAGGTTTACAGGTGTGTTAGAGTTGTATAGGTTTACAGGACAGGAGTGTTACAGATGTATAGGTTTACAGGAGTGTTACAGATGTATAGGTTTACAGGAGTGTTAGAGTTGTATAGGTTTACAGGAGTGTTAGAGTTGTATAGGTTTACAGGACAGGAGTGTTAGAGTTGTATAGGTTTACAGGTGTGTTACAGATGTATAGGTTTACAGGACAGGAGTGTTACAGATGTATAGGTTTACAGGAGTGTTACAGATGTATAGGTTTACAGGAGTGTTACAGATGTATAGGTTTACAGGAGTGTTAGAGTTGTATAGGTTTACAGGAGTGTTACAGATGTATAGGTTTACAGGAGTGTTAGAGTTGTATAGGTTTACAGGAGTGTTACAGATGTATAGGTTTACAGGAGTGTTACAGATGTATAGGTTTACAGGAGTGTTACAGATGTATAGGTTTACAGGTGTGTTAGAGTTGTATAGGTTTACAGGACAGGAGTGTTACAGATGGATAGGTTTACAGGAGTGTTACAGATGTATAGGTTTACAGGTGTGTTACAGATGTATAGGTTTACAGGTGTGTTAGAGTTGTATAGGTTTACAGGACAGGAGTGTGACAGATGGATAAGTTTACAGGAGTGTTACAGATGTATAGGTTTACAGGAGTGTTAGAGTTGTATAGGTTTACAGGAGTGTTAGAGTTGTATAGGTTTACAGGAGTGTTACAGATGTATAGGTTTACAGGAGTGTTAGAGTTGTATAGGTTTACAGGAGTGTTACAGATGTATAGGTTTACAGGAGTGTTACAGATGTATAGGTTTACAGGTGTGTTACAGATGTATAGGTTTACTGGAGTGTTACAGATGTATAGGTTTACAGGAGTGTTAGAGTTGTATAGGTTTACAGGAGTGTTAGAGTTGTATAGGTTTACAGGAGTGTTACAGATGTATAGGTTTACAGGAGTGTTAGAGTTGTATAGGTTTACAGGAGTGTTAGAGTTGTATAGGTTTACAGGAGTGTTACAGATGTATAGGTTTACTGGAGTGTTACAGATGTATAGGTTTACAGGAGTGTTAGAGTTGTATAGGTTTACAGGAGTGTTAGAGTTGTATAGGTTTACAGGAGTGTTAGAGTTGTATAGGTTTACAGGAGTGTTACAGATGTATAGGTTTACAGGAGTGTTACAGATGTATAGGTTTACAGGAGTGTTAGAGTTGTATAGGTTTACAGGAGTGTTACAGATGTATAGGTTTACAGGAGTGTTAGAGTTGTATAGGTTTACAGGAGTGTTAAAGATGTATAGGTTTACAGGAGTGTTAGAGTTGTATAGGTTTACAGGACAGGAGTGTTACAGATGTATAGGTTTACAGGAGTGTTAGAGTTGTATAGGTTTACAGGAGTGTTAGAGTTGTATAGGTTTACAGGAGTGTTACAGATGTATAGGTTTACAGGAGTGTTACAGTTGTATAGGTTTACAGGACAGGAATGTTACAGATGTATAGGTTTACAGGAGTGTTAGAGTTGTATAGGTTTACAGGAGTGTTAGAGTTGTATAGGTTTACAGGACAGGAGTGTTACAGATGTATAGGTTTACAGGAGTGATACAGTTGTATAGGTTTACAGAAGTGTTACAGATGTATAGGTTTACAGAAGTGTTACAGATGTATAGGTTTACAGGAGTGTTAGAGTTGTATAGGTTTACAGGTGTGTTAGAGTTGTATAGGTTTACAGGTGTGTTACAGATGTATAGGTTTACAGGACAGGAGTGTTACAGATGTATAGGTTTACAGGAGTGTTAGAGTTGTATAGGTTTACAGGACAGGTGTGTTACAGATGTATAGGTTTACAGAAGTGCTACAGATGTATAGGTTTACAGAAGTGTTACAGATGTATAGGTTTACAGGAGTGTTAGAGTTGTATAGGTTTACAGGTGTGTTACAGATGTATAGGTTTACAGGAGTGTTACAGATGTATAGGTTTACAGGACAGGAGTGTTACAGATGTATAGGTTTACAGGAGTGTTAGAGTTGTATAGGTTTACAGGTGTGTTAGAGTTGTATAGGTTTACAGGTGTGTTACAGATGTATAGGTTTACAGGACAGGAGTGTTACAGATGTATAGGTTTACAGGAGTGTTAGAGTTGTATAGGTTTACAGGACAGGTGTGTTACAGATGTATAGGTTTACAGAAGTGCTACAGATGTATAGGTTTACAGAAGTGTTACAGATGTATAGGTTTACAGGAGTGTTAGAGTTGTATAGGTTTACAGGTGTGTTACAGATGTATAGGTTTACAGGAGTGTTACAGATGTATAGGTTTACAGGACAGGAGTGTTACAGATGTATAGGTTTACAGGAGTGTTAGAGTTGTATAGGTTTACAGGTGTGTTAGAGTTGTATAGGTTTACAGGTGTGTTACAGATGTATAGGTTTACAGGACAGGAGTGTTACAGATGTATAGGTTTACAGGAGTGTTAGAGTTGTATAGGTTTACAGGACAGGTGTGTTACAGATGTATAGGTTTACAGAAGTGCTACAGATGTATAGGTTTACAGAAGTGTTACAGATGTATAGGTTTACAGGAGTGTTAGAGTTGTATAGGTTAACCAGGTGTGTAACGTGTGACTTATGACACCTGATAAGCCACAGCTGATTTGACTTACTGTAGTTTTATAGTCGCCAACGACCCTTGACCTTTGAACTGTACCATCACGTGTGCTGTCTACAACCGAATAGCCGTCAATGAATGTGGTCGAGGTGAGGCCGGCAGTGTGACCGGCAGTACGGCCGGACATCAACCGGTGCTGCTGCCACTTACGCCGTATCAAAGTGCGAACCTGGTGAGTGCAGTGGCCGAAACTCATAAACATATGCCCACTACGTCATAAACATATGTCCAGTACGTCATAAACATATGCCCACTACGTCATAAACATATGCCCACTACGTCATAATTATATGCCCACTACGTCATAGACATATGCTCATTTTGTATACTACGTCATACACATGTGTCTACTACGTCATACAAACTCGTTCTATGACTCACCTCACCGTTACACAAGCAGAATATGATGGACACGAGAGCACCCTGCAACAGGTAAACAGGGAAAAAGTCACAGGAAAGAAAAAAGCGACAACATAAAATTGCGCAAACAGAAAAAAGTGCAAACAGAAAAAATGCGCATTTCTCTGTGTTGCGCAACTTTATCGGAAAAAAAGTCACAGAAAAATCACAAAAATCTTGATTTGCACTTTCTAAATATTCAATACATAAAAGTATTAAATTCCATACAGATACACATTTGTTACTTTTTTCCCTGTGATTTTTTTCCCTGCAAAATACACGTTGGTTAGTAACAGGCGGATGGGCTTTGTGGTTTGGAAGTATAACCTGTCACAACTGTAGGTAATGTCACTGTCACACATGTAGACAATGTCACTGTCACACCTGTAGACAATGTCACTGTCACACCTGTAGACAATGTCACTGTCACACCTGACCTGTAGGTAATGTCACTGTCACACCTGTAGACAATGTCACTGTCACACCTGTAGACAATGTCACTGTCACACCTGTAGACAATGTCACTGTCACACCTGACCTGTAGGTAATGTCACTGTCACACCTGTAGACAATGTCACTGTCACACCTGTAGACAATGTCACTGTCACACCTGTAGACAATGTCACTGTCACACCTGTAGACAATGTCACTGTCACACCTGTAGACAATGTCACTGTCACACCTGTAGACAATGTCACTGCCACACCTGCAGACAATGTCACTGTCACACCTGTAGACAATGTCACTGTCACACCTGTAGACAATTTCACTGTCACACCTGTAGACAATGTCACTGTCACACCTGACCTGTAGGTAATGTCACTGTCACACATGTAGACAATGTCACTGCCACACCTGTTGACAATGTCACTGTCACACCTGTAGACAATGTCACTGCCACACCTGTAGACAATGTCACTGTCACACCTGTAGACAATGTCACTGTCACACCTGTAGACAATGTCACTGCCACACCTGCAGACAATGTCACTGTCACACCTGTAGACAATGTCACTGCCACACCTGTAGACAATGTCACTGTCACACCTGTATATCTCACCTGTAAGGAGAAGAGCAGCGCCATAATGTGCAGGTAGACGGTGTGCATGAGGGTGTCAGCTGGCGGCATGAGGGGGAGCACAAGGTAGTGCAGGCCAAACAGTGGCACCAGGATCAGCGTGGCTTTGGCCGCTTTTCTGTGGACAAGGGCAGAGCAATGGGTGGGGCACATGGCAGAGCAATGGGTGGGGCACAGGGCAGAGCAATGGGTGGGGCACAGGGCAGAGCAATGGGTGGGGCACAGGGCAGAGCAATGGGTGGGGCACAGGGCAGAGCAATGGGTGGGGCACAGGGCAGAGCAATAGGTGCTGTGGGACATACAAGGGCAGAGCAATGGGTGTGGCACAGGGCAGAGCAATGGGTGGAGCACAGGGCAGAGCTATGGGTGGGGCACAGGGCAGAGCAATGGGTGAGGCACAGGGCAGAGCTATAGGTGGGGCACAGGGCAGAGCAATGGGTGGGGCAATGGGACACATACAAGGGCAGAGCAATAGGTGGGACACAGGGCAGAGCAATGGGTGGGGCACAGGGCAGAGCAATGGGTGGGGCACAGGGCAGAGCAATGGGTGGGGCACAGGGCAGAGCAATGGGTGGGGCACAGGGCAGAGCTATAGGTGGGGCACAGGGCAGAGCAATGGGTGGGGCAATGGGACACATACAAGGGCAGAGCAATAGGTGGGACACAGGGCAGAGCAATGGGTGGGGCACAGGGCAGAGCAATGGGTGGGGCAATGGGACACATACAAGGGCAGAGCAATATGTGCTATGGTACACAAACAAAGACTGACCCAAGAATCATTGAAAAAACGTGTTATGGGTCTTTAATAACCTCCATTCCCCCTCTAACAGCCCACCCCACCACTCCTCAATCATACAGCCTCTGACAGCCCACCCCACCCCTCCCCAATCTTACGGCCTCTGACAGCCCACCCCACCCCTCCCCAATCTTACGGCCTCTGACAGCCCACCCCACCCCTCCCCAATCTTACGGCCTCTGACAGCCCACCCCACCCCTCCCCAATCTTACGGCCTCTGCCAGAAACCCCGTGACATCTACTCTCCTGACGTCACTGACGGAAGCCTGACAAGAGTCGGTTTTTGGCTGGCGTGTCACCATCAGACAATTGGATGCGTCAGGCCGGCGTGTAGAAAACTTACATCTGACACTCCGCACCACCTGACACCCTACACGACCCGACACCCTACAGCACCTGACATCCTACACAAACAGACGTTGAACAAAACACAAAATGTGCCACCTGACACCCTACACAATATGACACTTTACACCACCTGACATCCTACACCACCTGACACCCTACACGACCCGACACCCTACACAATATGACACCCTACACGACCCGACACCCTACACAATATGACACCCTACACCACCTGACAACCTACACATCCTATACCATATGACACCCTACACCATCTGACACCCTACACAATATGACATCCTACACATCCTATACCATATGACACACTACACCATCTGACACCCTACACAATATGACATCCTACACATCCTATACCATATGACACACTACACCATATGACACCCTACACCACCTGACATCCTACACATCCTATACCATATGACACCCTACACCATATGACACCCTACACCATATGACACCCTACACCACCTGACATCCTACACATCCTATACCATATGACACCCTACACCATCTGACACCCTACACAATATGACATCCTACACATCCTATACCATATGACACCCTACACCATCTGACACCCTACACCATCTGACATTCTACACACCCTGACATCCTACACCATCCTACAGCACCTGACACCCTACACCACCTGACATTTAACACAATTAAACACACGTGCAAAATATGCCGTCTTGGAGTAAGCAAAGAGTTAAAAAGTTCATCATGGCGCCCGATATTTCCTTATCAATACAATACAATCTGTTATCAACTGTTAGAAATCTAATTTATAAAGCTCAAACTAACTCTATGTCTCTATTTTTTTCAATACTTTTATTTGCAATTAAAACAAGTACATCAAAATCACATTTTTTACATAATTTCGAACATCGAATGAAAGCTAAAGGTTTTGCAAATGTACATAATGAATATTTACATGATGTCATGTATATGATTATAAAAAAATTTGCAAAGGATGACAGTTAAAGGGGTGAAGGTCAAATGAAAGTGTCAGAAGTCTGGGTGGGGAGAGGACAGGAAATTTTTCAGAGAGGGTCAATGGGACAATGAAGCATTTTCTATGTAGGAAAACAAATTAAGTTGACTAGTTGAAAGAGTGTTTATTTTTAAAACGTTTTTCTTAACTCAGCTTCGCGTTTGTTTGTTTGTTTGGTTGTTTGGATGTTTGTTGTTAAAATTGACATCGAAAATTAGCCCATTTCTGATTGCTCTAGAGACCTGAAATTTGGCATGCATGCTACTTTCGCCTAACAATTTCAGATGCAATCATAAAAACTAGCAATTAGTGACCGTAATTAGCTTAATTTAATTACGCCCCAAGGACCATAAAATTGAGGACATGATTTCTAAAGATACCGACAAGACTTGAGGCCTATTGACACAGTTACTTCGGCCCCAATCGATGTGAGCGCGCTGGCCGTGATCGTATAGTGGTTAGTACTTCGCGTTGTGGCCGCGACAACCCAGGTTCGAATCCTGGTCGCTCAAGATTTTTAGTCCGTGTATTTATAAACACTTTTTTAAAAACCACGTTTTTCATGTGTAGCAACGGACTAAAAAGGAGAAAATAAAATACTTAAAAAAAACTTTTTAAAAAACCACGTTTTTTATGTGTAGCAACGGACTAAAAAGGAGAACGGACACGGTAACACATTGTTAACGGTGACACGGTTGGTACGCTGGGCATGCTAAAATACACATAAACACGTTTTTCCTTAACTCAGCTTCGCGTTTATTTGTTTGTTTATGGGAGATTTGATCACGTGATTCGTGAGTAGATCTCCACGCCAGCAACGTGAATTACACCCTTTCTCTGTTTAAAGCGTATCGGTCGCTCAAGATTTTTTTAGTCCGTGTATTTAAAAACACTTAGTCAAGTCATACTTAATCAAGTGATTAGATAAAGTAGAAAATAAACTATATAAAAAACTGTTTAAAAACCACGTTTTTCATGTGTAGCAACGGACTAAAAAGGAGAAAATAAAATACTTAAAAAAAACTTTAAAAAAAAAACACGTTTTTCTTGTGGACTAAAAAGTAGAAAATAACTATTTACATACATTTGATGACAAAAAACGTGGGTCGGGCAGATGGGTCGGGAAATTTGATGGTGAACGTACCCACGTTTTTTGTCATCAAATGTATGTAAATAGTTATTTTCTACTTTTTAGTCCACAAGAAAAACGTGGTTTTTTTAAAAGTTTTTTTTAAGTATTTTATTTTCTCCTTTTTAGTCCGTTGCTACACATGAGTTTTCAAAAGGTTGCTGTGTGAAAGATGAGGGGAAAGAAACAATATTTAGAACTTTAAATCAGTAAATAATTAGATGTTCGAAATTGGTGTTGGGGTTTTGACTCTATGTCTCTGTATGAATGTATGTAACAGCGGACGGAGTATGCCAAGTCGGCATATAGTAAAAAACTCGACATGATCGCCATGGTGAAATATTCTTAAAGCATTTATTATCTAAATGAATAATTTCAAAAATTAATATGGATGGTTTTGTAAAAATAGTTTCATTTTCCAAAGGTAGCATTTTAATTAAACTCATGTAGAGTAAACAAAGTCAAAGAAAATGTGTCATCCTTTACAAAATTTTAAAAAGTGTACAAATAGCTTCACTTTGCTCCTTTAATGCCAATTTACTTCCCTTGATAGATCACAAACATTATTTTTACTTCCCTTAAAAAAAAAAAAAAACTTTACATCTGGGAAAAAAATACTTTTTACTAGTTTGTTTTGGTGTTGGAAAAAAAAAATATAATTAGCATGGATTGATAAAGTGCAATGTGGATTGGTAAAACACGGAAAATTTTACTGTCTTTTATTTATTTTATACACTGAACATGTTGTTTACTAACTATTTTTAATCAATTACAGTTAAGAAGCCGCTCCTAAATGCCCTCTATGTCTGTTCTATCTTTCAGTTTGCGTACAAGCTGGGGTTTTACAGTCGTTGACTAAATTGTATCAGGCACGTCCGCCCCCACAGGGTTGGCTATCCTGTGGGCGCTATGGCGCACACATTTGTTTTAAACAGTCTGATAGATTATGGATAAGAAAGGTTATTAGATCTATAGTCCTTAACTAAATCGAATCCGGGCATTCTCCTGCGCCCCGACAGGGTGCTATTTGGCGCCCGGGCCTTCCCTCCAGGCGATTCTCTTAACCATTAGGTATAGGAATGTATAGACCTACAATCATGTTCTAGAGGCGGCAACCTTGCGTGTTGAAGCTCTAAATGATAGCAAGTCTCCCGTCCACAATAGCTGTACTTAAAACAGATGTTATTTTCGGGATCCCCCCGTACCAACTAACCTATCTACCCCCCCCCCCGTACCAACTAACCTATCTACCCCCCCCCGTACCAACTAACCTATCTACCCCCCCCCCCGTACCAACTAACCTATCTACCCCCCCCCCCCCCCGTACCAACTAACCTATCTACCCCCCCCCCCCGTACCAACTAACCTATCTACCCCCCCCCCTCCCGTACCAACTAACCTATCTACCCCCCCCCCGTACCAACTAACCTATCTACCCCCCCCTCCCGTATCAACTAACCTATCTACCCCCCCCTCCCGTACCAACTAACCTATCTACCCCCCCCGTACCAACTAACCTATCTACCCCCCCCCCCCTCCCGTACCAACTAACCTATCTACCCCCCCCCCCGTACCAACTAACCTATCTACCCCCCCCTCCCGTACCAACTAACCTATCTACCCCCCCCCCTCCCGTACCAACTAACCTATCTACCCCCCCCCGTACCAACTAACCTATCTACCCCCCCTCCCGTACCAACTAACCTATCTACCCCCCCCCCCCCCGTACCAACTAACCTATCTACCCCCCCCCTCCCGTACCAACTAACCTATCTACCCCCCCCCTCCCGTACCAACTAACCTATCTACCCCCCCCCCCCCCCGTACCAACTAACCTATCTACCCCCCCCTCCCGTACCAACTAACCTATCTACCCCCCCCCCCCCGTACCAACTAACCTATCTACCCCCCCCCCCACGCCCCGTACCAACTAACCTATCTACCCATCCCCTGTAACAAAACCCAACTATCCACACCACTATACCCAAGTCAAAGATGTACCTGCTTTGATTAGCGTCCGGAATTTGCCGGAGTTTCGTCATCAAAAGCCGGACCAGGTTGATCAAGATGCCGATGTTGACCTGGGGTGAAATGAAAATAGCACTTACAAGAAGCAGCCAATCAGAGAGCTGGTGAGAAAATGCTAGCCAATCAGAGGGGACGTACCAGGATAGAAGCGGCGATGGGTCCCGACACGATCCACAGAGTGTGGTCGTCTGTTATCCAGCACCTGAAGACAAGTTAACATTTACTGACCTAAAGGCTAACATTGTTAACTTAAACACTCAGTTAACATTTACTGACCTAAAGGCTAACTTTGTTAACTTAAACACTCAGTTAACATTTACTGACCTAAAGGCTAACTTTGTTAACTTAAACACTCAGTTAACATTTACTGACCTAAAGGCTAACTTTGTTAACTTAAACACTCAGTTAACATTTACTGACCTAAAGGCTAACATTGTTAACTTAAACACTCAGTTAACATTTACTGACCTAAAGGCTAACTTTGTTAACTTAAACACTCAGTTAACATTTACTGACCTAAAGGCTAACTTTGTTAACTTAAACACTCAGTTAACATTTACTGACCTAAAGGCTAACTTTGTTAACTTAAACACTCAGTTAACATTTACTGACCTAAAGGCTAACTTTGTTAACTTAAACACTCAGTTAACATTTACTGACCTAAAGGCTAACTTTGTTAACTTAAACATTCAGTTAACATTTACTGACCTAAAGGCTAACTTTGTTAACTTAACGAACACTCAGACAGTTAACATTTACTAACTTAAAGACTAACTTTGTTAACTTATCAAACACTCAGTGACCTAAAGGCTAACCTTCTTAACTTAAACACTCAATCGGTTAACATTTACTGACCTAAAGGTTAACTTTCTTAACTTAAACACACAGTCAGTTAACATTTACTGGCCTAAAGGCTAAGTTTGTTAACTTAAAAACTTAGTTCGTTAACATTTACTGACCTAAAGGCTAACTTTATTAACTTAAACACTCAATAAGTTAACATTTACTGACCTACAGGCTAACTTTGATAACTTAAACACACAGTTAGTTAACATTTACTGACCTAAAGGCTAACTTTGTTAACTTAACAAAAACTCAGACAGTTAACATTTACTGACCTGAAGGTTTAACTTTGTTAACTTAAACACTCAGTTAGTTAACATTTAATGACCTAAAGGCTAACTTTGTTAACTTAAACACTCAGTTAGTTAACATTTAATGACCTAAAGGTTTAACTTTGTTAACTTGATTTAGCAAACACTCAGTGATATAAAGGCCTAACTTTAAAAAAATAATGTTTTTCCAGCGTGCAATTCAGTTCCAGTATGTTAACGTACTTGTTATATGTCTTATATGTTAACATACTTGTTATATGTATCATATGTTAACATACTTGTTATATGATTCAGTTACAGTATGGTAACAATAATTGTAATATGATTCAGTTCCAGTATGTTAACATACCTGTTATATGAATCAGTTACAGTATGTTAACATACTTGTTATATGTATCATATGTTAACATACTTGTTATATGTTTTATATAGTAACATACTTGTAATATGATTCAGTTCCAGTATGTTAACATACTTGTTATATGTATTATATGTTAACATACTTGTTATATGATTCAGTTCCAGTAGGTTAACATACTTGTTATATGAATCAGTTACAGTATGTTAACATACTTGTTATATGTATTGTATGTTAACATACTTGTTATATGTTTTATATATTAACATACTTGTAATATGTTTCAGTTACAGTATGTTAACATACGTGTTATATGTATTGTATGTTAACATACTTGTTATATGTTTTATATATTAACATACTTGTTATATGATTCAGTTACAGTATGTTAACATACTTGTTATATGATTCAGTTCCAGTATGTTAACATACTTGTTATATGATTCAGTTCCAGTATGTTAACGAGATGTCCTAGAGAAACTGTAGTAGACCATTGTGACCTACGTCAAAGCTTGTGACCTATATTTCTATTGTTACCTCTGGTGACCTCTATTTCTAGTGCTTCAACTGTGACCTACAATTCTAATGCTACCACTGTGACCTACAATTCTAATGCTAGCACTGTGACCTACATTTCTAGAGTGACCTTATGACCTACCGATCCAAACTGGATGGTGTAGATGCTCTGACCGCTCCATACACCACGTTGAAGAGAAACGGAACACCTGTAGATGACGTAATGTGATGGTGTTATCACAAAGATGTTACCACAAAGATGTTAGCACCATGATGTTACCACCCCCACACAAACCACATGTATGAAGGTGTTACCCCCATCTTACCCCATCCTCCTATGACGAGACATTTGATCAGTTTTTTCCCCGTCCTCAGCGCATGCGCCATGATGATGTGCAGATACAGGCCCTCGCACAACATCCAGGAGAAGTTGCTGGCACTGCAGTAATGTGCAACCATGTGCAGCACGCGGCACCACAGCTGAAATGGTTGAAGCAATCACTCAAGTCAACAGTCACTCAACTCAAGTCAACAGTCACTCAACTCAAGTCAACAGTCACTCAACTCAAGTCAACAGTCACACAACTCAAGTCAACAGTCACTCAACTCAAGTCAACAGTCACTCAACTGAACTCAACAGTCACTCAACTCAAGTCAACAGTCACTCAATGCAAGTCAACCGTCACTCAACTCAAGTCAACAGTCACTCAACTCAAGTCAACAGTCACTCAACTCAAGTCAACAGTCACTCAATGCAAGTCAACCGTCACTCAACTCAAGTCAACAGTCACTCAACTCAAGTCAACAGTCACTCAACTCAAGTCAACAGTCACTCAAATCAATTCAACAGTCACTCAATGCAAGTCAACAGTCACTCAACTCAAGTCAACAGTCACTCAACTCAAGTCAACAGTCACTCAACTCAAGTCAACAGTCACTCAACTCAATTCAGCAATCACTCAATTCAACAAACACTCAACTTAATTCAAGAATCACACAAATCGATTCAACAGATATTTAACATGCAACCCATAACTCATGTAAATTCAGCCGAGTTCTAACATGCAACCCATAACTCATGTAAATTCAGCCGAGTTCTAACATGCAACCCATAACTCATGTAAATTCAGCCGAGTTCTAACATGCAACCCATAACTCATGTAAATTCAGCCGAGTTCTAACATGCAACCCATCACTCATGTAAATTCAGCCGAGTTCTAACATGCAACCCATAACTCATGTAAATTCAGCCGAGTTCTAACATGCAACCCATCACTCATGTAAATTCAGCCGAGTTCTAACATGCAACCCATCACTCATCCCTAGCTAGCAACCCGCCAACCCCATAAGACAAAGTGGAAAACACAAAATCTGTTCGCGTACAAAACAAATAAAGTAGGATAGAAGAGCGTTAACTCTTGCCTAAATTCAAGTACATGGCGAGTTGTTCCTCTTAAGTTATCCCCCGTGTTTACCTGTTATTTGATGCAGGATTTAATGGGAACTTATTGCCCCTGAACCCAAAATTCACCCAACCCCCCCCCCCCCCACAAATCATTTGTTGTGAGCGTGCGCAGACAACACGCTTGTAATAAAAGCTTTTCAACTAGGATAGCAGGATAGCAGGGTCGGCGCCATGCTTGGCCATGCTTCTACAGCAGGGTCGCGGGAGTGATCTCCCCTGAACTTTCTTGAATATTCTTATATAACTCTACGGGGGATGGCAACTCGGGATATAGACATGATTTTTAATCCATTTTCAATTACTTAAACTTTTAAAAATAGAATAAAATCTCGTAGAAAAAAAAAGATTGCGCACCAAGTGAACGCCGAACAATATGTGTATAATAGTGCGGGATATTATCAGTACTTTATAAATTCAAATGCGATTTTTTTAGGGATCGGAAATAGCGTAAATTACTACTTACGGTCAACGGAAATTACTCAAAATGTGATAGAAGGCAGAGAATTAAATCTTTTACTTACATGTGAAATTTCATTTATCTATCTGAAACAGTTCTCAAATTATAGGCTTTTGGAAAATTAAAAGTAGAGTAAGTTCAACTTCCGGTTACCGGAAATCTCTGAAAAGTTGATTTTTAAAAATCTCGATTTTTTTTTTGGTGCACGATTACAATATTTCTTCTATACTTCGTATACGAGAAAGTAAAAAGAGAATAGCTATAAAAAAGTTGATGTAAAAAAAAGTGAATAAAAAGTGGATGATCACTTCTCGCCGTCTGCTGAACAGATCAGCCCCCCTCAGTCAGCTGGTTGGGCCCCGGGGCCACGAGCGGCCGGCCGGTGGGAGAGATGTTTGTACATTTAAATTGGAGCTTCTGGCCACATTGGCCCGCAAATTGTGGCCACGGGCGGGCAGGAAACAGATTAGAGAAGGCGCGACACACTTTGTTTTGATTGGTGCCCGACCTCCCCTGCCCGCCCCACGCTGCTCGCTTGATCGGCTGGCTTGATCATGCTCTAATGGGCACAGCTTAATTAAGTTCGTTCATTAGTGAAAAAAATGGTAGGCTAGAAGGACTAAAATAAGCTAACTCCTCCACCCAACCCACCTTCATCCAACCCAACCCAACCCCACCCAACCCTACCCCACCCCAACAAACATAAACATGGTGACGTCATCAAGTGGTGATGACGTCACGTGTCTGGGACGTACCGGGTTCTCCAGTATGACGTGGCCATTGAGGATGACGGTCTTGTAGTAGATGGTCCAGACGACACTGGTCAGCAGGTAGCTGACGAACAGGTTCTTGTGGATGGTCACTCGGTCACAGCGCAGCTGCCTGGGTCAGTTCAAGCAAAGGTAACGTCATATGGTCGGTTCAAGCAAAGGTAACGTCACATGGTCAGTTCAAGCAAAGGTAACGTCACATGGTCAGTTCAAGCAAAGGTAACGTCGTATGGTCAGTTCAAGCAAGGGTAACGTCGTATGGTCAGTTCAAGCAAGGGTAACATCGTTATGGTCAGTTCAAGCAAAGGTAACGTCGTATGGTCAGTTCAAGCAAAGGTAACGTCGTGTTGTAACCGTAGTAAGAAAAAAGCCTCACAGAAAACCCTGGAACACCAGCAGAGAGAAGGCCAGTAGGACGACGGAGATGGCGGACCCAGCGAAGAATAAATAAATATGGCTGGTGTCAGTAACCTGCAACATACACAATCAACTGTTAACAACATACACAATCAACTGTACACAAAAAATTTTAACGGTCTTTTCATAAATGTTAATAGTCCAACAATGAGAACAGTTTAAACCTTACCTTAATCTATAAACCCACCTGTACAAACACCACATGTACAAACCCCACCTGGACCTATAAACCCCACCTGGACCTACAAACCCCACCTGGACCTACAAACCCCACCTGTACTAACCCCACCTGGACCTATAAACCCGACACTTCTCACCTTGACCTACAAACCCCACCTGGACCTACAAACCCCACCTGGACCTACAAACCCCACCTGGACCTACAAACCCCACCTGTACTAACCCCACCTGGACCTATAAACCCGACACTTCTCACCTTGACCTACAAACCCCACCTGGACCTACAAACCCCACCTTGACCTACAAACCCCACCTGGACCTACAAACCCCACCTTGACCTACAAACCCGACACTTCTCACCTTGACCTACAAACCCCACCTGGACCTACAAACCCCACCTGGACCTACAAACCCCACCTTGACCTACAAACCCCACCTGGACCTATAAACCCCACCTGAACCTACAAACCCGACACTTCTCACCTTGACCTACAAACCCCACCTGGACCTACAAACCCCACCTGGACCTATAAACCCCACCTGGACCTATAAACCCGACACTTCTCACCTTGACCTACAAACCCCACCTGGACCTACAAACCCCACCTGGACCTATAAACCCCACCTGGACCTACAAACCCGACACTTCTCACCTTGACCTACAAACCCCACCTGGACCTACAAACCCCACCTGGACCTACAAACCCCACCTGGACCTACAAACCCCACCTTGACCTACAAACCCCACCTGGACCTATAAACCCCACCTGGACCTACAAACCCGACACTTCTCACCTTGACCTATAAACCCCACCTGGACCTACAAACCCGACACTTCTCACCTTGACCTATAAACCCCACCTGGACCTACAAACCCCACCTGGACCTACAAACCCCACCTGGACCTACAAACCCCACCTGTACTAACCCCACCTGGACCTATAAACCCGACACTTCTCACCTTGACCTACAAACCCCACCTGGACCTACAAACCCCACCTTGACCTACAAACCCCACCTGGACCTATAAACCCCACCTGGACCTACAAACCCGACACTTCTCACCTGGACCTACAAACCCCACCTGGACCTATAAACCCCACCTGGACCTATAAACCCCACCTGGACCTATAAACCCCACCTGGACCTATAAACCCCACCTGGACCTACAAACCCGACACTTCTCACCTTGACCTACAAACCCCACCTGGTCCTACAAACCCCACCTGGACCTACAAACCCCACCTTGACCTACAAACCCCACCTGGACCTATAAACCCCACCTGGACCTACAAACCCGACACTTCTCACTTTGACCTACAAACCCCACCTGGACCTACAAACCCCATCTGGACCTATAAACCCCACCTGGACCTATAAACCCGACACTTCTCACCTTGACCTACAAACCCCACCTGGACCTACAAACCCCACCTGGACCTATAAACCCCACCTGGACCTATAAACCCCACCTGGACCTACAAACCCGACACTTCTCACCTTGACCTACAAACCCCACCTGGACCTACAAACCCCACCTGGACCTACAAACCCCACCTTGACCTACAAACCCCACCTGGACCTATAAACCCCACCTGGACCTACAAACCCGACACTTCTCACCTTGACCTATAAACCCCACCTGGACCTACAAACCCCACCTGGACCTACAAACCCCACCTGGACCTATAAACCCCACCTGTACTAACCCCACCTGGACCTACAAACCCCACCTGTACAAACCCCACCTGGACCTACAAAGCCCACACTTCTCACCTGGACCTACAAAGCCCACACTTCTCACCTTGACCTACAAACCCCACCTGGACCTACAAAGCCCACCTGGACCTACAAAGCCCACACTTCTCACCTGGACCTATAAAGTTCACCTGGACCTACAAACCCCACCTGGACCTACAAACCCCACCTGGACCTATAAAGTTCACCTGGACCTACAAAGCCCACACTTCTCACCTTGACCTACAAACCCCACCTGGACCTATAAACCCCACCTGGACCTACAAAGCCCACCTGGACCTACAAACCCCACCTGGACCTACAAACCCCACCTGGACCTACAAACCCCACCTGGACCTACAAACCCCACCTGGACCTACAAACCCTACCTGGACCTATAAACCCCACCTGGACCTACAAACCCCACCTGGACCTACAAAGCCCACACTTCTCACCTTGACCTACAAAGCTCACCTGAGTTGTCTCCGTTGTACAGGCGGAGTAGTTGGCCCTGGACTGGTTGTCTGCCCGCTCCCACTGACCGCTGTCCAGACATTGGAGGAACACGAAGCTGCTCACATCTTCAGCGGCTGCTGACCAGACGACAAGATCATGGCCGGATCTAACCGGGCCTCAGCCGGATGATAGCCGGATCTAACCGGGCCTCAGCCGAATGATAGCCGGATCTAACCGGGCCTCAGCCGAATGATAGCCGGATCTAACCGGGCCTCAGCCGGATGATAGCCGGATCTAACCGGGCCTCAGCCGGACGACTGGACTAACCATGTGACAGCTAGGTCTAGCCAATCAACATCCGAATGTATCAAATAGCCGGTCAACAGTCGGTCTAAGCCGGATGTAGTCATCCGGTATTCAGCCGGAAACTAACCATTAGTTAGCCGGCTGAAAGTGAACGTGTAAGTGAGCGCCGTGAATGAGATGAATTTGTCAGCGGATAACGAGCCGGTTAATTCAAACTCAGCGGACACTCGTCACCCGCCTTCAAACATTTATTTTCATTAACGGTCGCTCATGGTGACGTCATTCACTGACAAAAAAACATGAAATGGGGTAGTCGATTCCTAGAAAAGACACAATACACCCTAGCGATACCAGGAAAAAGCTTTTAGTTTCGCGTCTATTAGCTCGGCTAATTGGTCGGTGTCTCCTTGCATGGCCAGACCTCAAATGATGGTGTCAAGTTAGAAATAAAGTCTTATCTGTGTCGTGTAGGTAATTAGCCCATCTGTGTCGTGTAGGTAATTAGCCCATCTGTGTCGTGTAGGTAATTAGCCCATCTGTATCGTGTAGGTAATTAGCCCATCTGTGTCGTGTAGGTAATTAGCCCATCTGTGTCGTGTAGGTAATTAGCCCATCTGTGTCGTGTAGGTAATTAGCCCATATGTGTCGTGTAGGTAATTAGCCCATCTGTGTCGTGTAGGTAATTAGCCCATATGTGTCGTGTAGGTAATTAGCCCATATGTGTCGTTATCTGTTTCATATATGTGTTAGGTCAAAGTTTCGGTCGACCATGGCCAGTCCGTGGTAAATGTCCGAAAGAAGAAAACATTTCGTACTTTGACCGGTCAATTGGGAAGATTGATTGGCCAATGTGCGTATCAACCGGCCAATGTGCGTATCGGCCGGCCAATGTGCGTATCGCCCGGCCAATGAGTGCTTTGGACGAATTCGGGCTTTGATCGTAATGTAAATTGAATGAATGAATGAGTAAATGAATGAATGAGTGAATGAATGAATGAATGAGTGAGTGAATGAATGAATGAATGAATGAATGAATGAATGAATGAATGAATGAATGAATGAATGAATGAATGAATGAATGAATGAATGAATGAATGAATGAATGAATGAATGAATGAATGAATGAATGAATGAATGAAATAATTAAACAAAGATATATATATATATATATATATATATATATATATATATATATATATATATATATATATATATATATATATATATATATATATATATATATATATATATATATATATATATTGTGTGTGTAGTGTGTGTGTGTGTGTGCATGTTTGTGTGTTCGTCGTTATGTAGAGTAGTGTGGGTACTTACGGAAGACAGGTAAAGCTTCTGAGCACAGCACTCGTCCAAGGGTTCCTGCCCTTGTGTGGTTAAAGCAGGCGAAGCCATCGAAAAAACCAGGACAGTAAACACCTGCAACACACAGGTCATTTACAGGTGGTGTTTAGGTGGGTTGTGTGGGTGTTTAGGTGGGTTGTGTGGGTGTTTGGGTGGGTTGTGTGGGTGTTTAGGTGGGCTGTGTGGGTGTTTAGGTGGGTTGTGTGGGTGTTTAGGTGGGCTGTGTGGGTGTTTAGATGGGTTGTGTGGGTGTTTATATGGGTTGTGTGGGTGTTTAAATGGGTTGTGTGGGTGTTTAGGTGGGCTGTGTGGGTGTTTAGATGGGTTGTGTGGGTGTTTAGATGGGTTGTGTGGGTGTTTAGGTGGGTTGTGTGGGCTGTGTGGGTGTTTAGATGGGCTGTGTGGGTGTTTAGGTGGGTTGTGTGGGTGTTTAGGTGGGTTGTGTGGGCTGTGTGGGTGTTTAGATGGGCTGTGTGGGTGTTTAGGTGGGTTGTGTGGTTGTTTATGTGGGCTGTGTGGGTGTTTAGATGGGTTGTGTGGGTGTTTAGGTGGGCTGTGTGGGTGTTTAGATGGGTTGTGTGGGTGTTTAGGTGGGTTGTGTGGGTGTTTAGGTGGGCTGTGTGGGTGTTTAGATGGGCTGTGTGGGTGTTTAGGTGGGTTGTGTGGGTGTTTAGGTGGGTTGTGTGGGTGTTTAGGTGGGCTGTGTGGGTGTTTAGATGGGCTGTGTGGGTGTTTAGGTGGGTTGTGTAGGCTGTGTGGGTGTTTAGGTGGGTTGTGTGGGTGTTTAGGTGGGTTGTGTGGGCTGTGTGGGTATTTAGGTGGGCTGTGTGGGTGTTTAGATGGGCTGTGTGGGTGTTTAGGTGGGTTGTGTAGGCTGTGTGGGTGTTTAGGTGGGTTGTGTGGGTGTTTAGGTGGGCTGTGTGGATGTTTAGGTGGGTTGTGTGGGCTGTGTGGGTGTTTAGGTGGGCTGTGTGGGTGTTTAGGTGGGTTGTGTGGGTGTTTAGGTGGGCTGTGTGGGTGTTTAGATGGGTTGTGTGGGTGTTTAGATGGGCTGTGTGGGTGTTTAGGTGGGCTGTGTGGGTGTTTGGGTGGGTTGTGTGGGTGTTTAGGTGGGTTGTGTGGGTGTTTAGGTGGGCTGTGTGGGTGTTTAGATGGGTTGTGTGGGTGTTTATATGGGTTGTGTGGGTGCTTAGGTGGGCTGTGTGGGTGTTTAGATGGGTTGTGTGGGTGTTTAGGTGGGCTGTGTGGGTGTTTAGATGGGTTGTGTGGGTGTTTAGGTGGGCTGTGTGGGTGTTTAGGTGGGCTGTGTGGGTGTTTAGGTGGGTTGTGTGGGTGTTTAGGTGGGCTGTGTGGGTGTTTAGGTGGGTTGTGTGGGTGTTTAGGTGGGCTGTGTGGGTGTTTAGGTGGGTTGTGTGGGTGTTTAGGTGGGCTGTGTGGGTGTTTAGGTGGGTTGTGTGGGTGTTTAGGTGGGCTGTGTGGGTGTTTAGGTGGGTTGTGTGGGTGTTTAGGTGGGTTGTGTGGGTGTTTAGGTGGGTTGTGTGGGTGTTTAGGTGGGTTGTGTGGGTGTTTAGGTGGGTTGTGTGGGTGTTTAGGTGGGTTGTGTGGGTGTTTAGGTTGGCTGTGTGGGTGTTTAGATGGGTTGTGTGGGTGTTTAGGTGGGTTGTGTGGGTGTTTAGGTGGGTTGTGTGGGTGTTTAGGTGGGCTGTGTGGGTGTTTAGGTGGGTTGTGTGGGTGTTTAGGTGGGCTGTGTGGGTGTTTAGGTGGGTTGTGTGGGTGTTTGGTGGGTTGTGTGGGTGTTTAGGTGGGTTGTGTGGGTGTTTAGGTGGGTTGTGTGGGTGTTTAGGTGGGTTGTGTGGGTGTTTAGGTGGGTTGTGTGGGTTGTGTGGGTGTTTAGATGGGTTGTGTGGGTGTTTAGACGGGTTGTATGGGTGTTTAGGTGGGCTGTGTGGGTTGTGTGGGTGTTTAGGTGGGCTGTGTGGGTGTTTAGGTGGGCTGTGTGGGTGTTTAGGTGGGTTGTGTGGGTGTTTAGGTGGGCTGTGTGGGTGTTTAGGTGGGTTGTGTGGGTGTTTAGGTGGGCTGTGTGGGTGTTTAGATGGGTTGTGTGGGTGTTTAGATGGGTTGTGTGGGTGTTTAGGTGGGCTTCGTGTGACGTCCTTACAGAAGTTGATATGTTGCTTGGCTAAGGTCCTTACAGAAGTTGTGGAGATGTGCCAGCACCTGCTGGGAGCCCATTAGCTTGGGACTTGTCACGTGATCTGGTCTGACCTCAATAGTTGTCATTAACGTGTGCAAAAATGTATTGGTAAATAATGGTGCAGTTGTAGCGTATAGAACTCATGGCCTGGGGTAGAACAGTCACACACACAGACAGATAGACAGACACACAGTTGACAAACAAGACTATTCCAAATAATCTGTCGTGCTAGACGTTCAAATTTCCCCAGCTCCAAGCTGATGCAGCGCGACTTGTGGGGGGCTTCTATTCTCCAGTCCAATCAGTTGGCGCATGCGCAGTGCCAAAGTGGCAACTCCAGACGCGACACAGAAGTGGCCAGGATTTGACATGTAATCACCGCGCTCTTTAAATACAGGCCATAACGCAACTCTAACACAGGGCCACTGGACCACAAACCAACTCTAACACAGGGCCACTGGACCACAAACCAACTCTAACACAGGGCCACTGGACCACAAACCAACTCTAACACAGGACCACTGGACCACAAACCAACTCTAACACAGGGCCACTGGACCACAAACCAACTCTAACACAGGGCCACTGGACCACAAACCAACTCTAACACAGGGCCACTGGACCACAAACCAACTCTAACACAGGACCACAGGGCCACTGGACCACAAACCAACTCTAACACAGGACCACAAACCAACTCTAACACAGGGCCACTGGACCACAAACCAACTCTAACACAGGACCACTGGACCACAAACCAACTCTAACACAGGGCCACTGGACCACAAACCAACTCTAACACAGGACCACTGGACCACAAACCAACTCTAACACAGGGCCACTGGACCACAAACCAACTCTAACACAGGGCCACTGGACCACAAACCAACTCTAACACAGGGCCACTGGACCACAAACCAACTCTAACACAGGGCCACTGGACCACAAACCAACTCTAACACAGGGCCACTGGACCACAAACCAACTCTAACACAGGGCCACTGGACCACAAACCAACTCTAACACAGGGCCACTGGACCACAAACCAACTCTAACACAGGACCACAAACCAACTCTAACACAGGACCACTGGACCACAAACCAACTCTAACACAGGGCCACTGGACCACAAACCAACTCTAACACAGGGCCACTGGACCACAAACCAACTCTAACACAGGGCCACTGGACCACAAACAAACTCTAACACAGGACCACAGGGCCACTGGACCACAAACCAACTCTAACACAGGACCACAAACCAACTCTAACACAGGGCCACTGGACCACAAACCAACTCTAACACAGGGCCACTGGACCACAAACCAACTCTAACACAGGGCCACTGGACCACAAACAAACTCTAACACAGGGCCACTGGACCACAAACCAACTCTAACACAGGGCCACTGGACCACAAACCAACTCTAACACAGGGCCACTGGACCACAAACCAACTCTAACACAGGGCCACTGGACCACAAACAAACTCTAACACAGGACCACAGGGCCACTGGACCACAAACCAACTCTAACACAGGACCACAAACCAACTCTAACACAGGACCACTGGACCACAAACCAACTCTAACACAGGGCCACAGGGCCACTGGATCGGTCAACGGAAAAAAAAGTCATAGGAAAAAAAAACCACAGAAAAAAAAGTCACAGTTTTTGCTAGGAAAAAAAATCACAGAAAAAAAAGTCACAGTGGAAAAATTTTATCGGAAAAAAAGTCAAGAAATAAAGTCACAGAAAAAAGTCACAAAAATCTTTTTAGAAATATTTTTATTAATTTGTTAAGAATTGTAAATTTTTTTATGTTTATTGTTGTGGGCTGTATTTTTTTATAGCATAAATTATTTATAGACGTTAAAAGTATTATGATTTATAACAATTGTAAGTAAAAATACTCTAAGATAATTAACACAACAATCTCAACGTTTGTTACGTATTTAGTTAAATACGCGGTAAAAAAGTTAATTATAAAAGAAATTTAGGCACATTTTGCCGCAGGCTATTCTCTGGCCTCTCCTCAGTAGGCATTGTCCGAACATATTTTGTGTTGTTGACGTTATGCGTCAATGAGAGCCTTTGAACCTTGTCGGCTTTCTGTTTTGATCCTAAGTTTTGTTATGTAATGAGCGTGATAAATGTGGGCAGTAAAGGTGGTTGAACTAAACATATCTATTGTTGCCATGAGTTGACGGCAGCAAGTCAGATGAATTTACCATTTCACGGTAATTTGATGTTAGTATTTAAAAAGAAAAAACACGATGAAAAACGTAGACTATGGAGCATTATATTAAATGCTACTAATCTTAAGTTTAAAACAATTACAATCTACAATCTACATACTTCATAATAAATATTTTTAGATGAATTATAAAAATTACTATGCGTATACAGCCTACACACATTACATTTAATTAATCCTAAGTTAATTTGCACTCTCTAAATATTTAATACATAAAATTATTATCAAATATCATGCCAATATATATTTGTGACTTTTTTTCCTGTGACTTTTTTTTCCTGTGACCTTTTTCCTGTGACTTTTTTTCCTGTGACTTTTTTTCCTGTGACTTTCTTTCCTGTGACTTTTTTTTCCTACAATCCACTGGACCACCGGACCACAAACACACCAGCACATTTACAACCATTCCAGACACAGAAAGCCCAATGTACAACAGTAGGTGGACAAATAGGTTCCAGGGGGGGTAGTCAATAAGCTTGCTGAACGACCGTGTGGCTGTGTGGTTGTGTGGCTAAATTACAAGTTGTAGTAGCAGACATGAAATGGGCTAGAATAAGTCAGAGAGGCAAACATTACGGGAATAAAAGGAAAGTTGGAGTGACAGGCGCCTAGCGAGAGAACTGATAGTTGGCTTAGTGGGTGAAGAGATGGTCTAGTGGGTGGAGAGATGGTCTAGTGGGTGGAGAGAGTGGGTGGAGAGATGGTCTAGTGGGTGGAGACAGTGGGTGGAGAGATGGTCTAGTGGGTGGAGAGATGGTCTAGTGGGTGGAGAGATGGTCTAGTGGCTGTAGAGATGGTCTAGTGGGTGGAGAGATGGTCTAGTGGGTGGAGAGATGGTCTAGTGGGTGGAGACAGTGGGTGGAGAGATGGTCTAGTGGGTGGAGAGATGGTCTAGTGGGTGGAGAGATGGTCTAGTGGCTGTAGAGATGGTCTAGTGGGTGGAGAGATGGTCTAGTGGGTAGAGAGATGGTCTAGTGGGTGGAGACAGTGGGTGGAGAGATGGTCTAGTGGGTGGAGAGATGGTCTAGTGGGTGGAGAGATGGTCTAGTGGGTGGAGAGGTGGTCTAGTGGGTGGAGAGATGGTCTAGTGGGTGGAGAGATGGTCTAGTGGGTGGAGAGATGGTCTAGTGGGTGGGGAGATGGTCTAGTGGGTGGAGAGATGGTCTAGTGGGTGGAGAGATGGTCTAGTGGGTGGAGAGATGGTCTAGTGGGTGGAGAGGTTGTCTAGTGGGTGGAGACAGTGGGTGGAGAGATGGTCTAGTGGGTGGAGACAGTGGGTGGAGAGATGGTCTAGTGGGTGGAGAGATGGTCTAGTGGGTGGAGATATGGTCTAGTGGGTGGAGAGGTGGTCTAGTGGGTGGAGAGATGGTCTAGTGGGTGGAGAGATGGTCTAGTGGGTGGAGAGATGGTCTAGTGGGTGGAGAGATGGTCTAGTGGGTGGAGAGATGGTCTAGTGGGTGGAGACAGTGGGTGGAGAGATGGTCTAGTGGGTGGAGAGATGGTCTAGTGGGTGGAGAGATGGTCTAGTGTGTGGAGACAGTGGGTGGAGAGATGGTCTAGTGGGTGGAGAGATGGTCTAGTGGGTGGAGAGGTTGTCTAGTGGGTGGAGACAGTGGGTGGAGAGATGGTCTAGTGGGTGGAGACAGTGGGTGGAGAGATGGTCTAGTGGGTGGAGAGATGGTCTAGTGGGTGGAGAGAGTGGGTGGAGAGATGGTCTAGTGGGTGGAGAGATGGTCTAGTGGGTGGAGAGGTTGTCTAGTGGGTGGAGACAGTGGGTGGAGAGATGGTCTAGTGGGTGGAGACAGTGGGTGGAGAGATGGTCTAGTGGGTGGAGACAGTGGGTGGAGAGATGGTCTAGTGGGTGGAGACAGTGGGTGGAGAGATGGTCTAGCGGGTAGAGAGATGGTCTAGTGGGTGGAGAGATGGTCTAGTGGGTAGAGAGATGGTCTAGTGGGTGGAGAGATGGTCTAGTGGGTGGAGAGAGTGGGTGGAGAGATGGTCTAGTGGGTGGAGAGATGGTCTAGTGGGTGGAGAGAGTGGGTGGAGAGATGGTCTAGTCTAGTGGATGGAGAGATGGTCTAGTGGGTGGAGACAGTGGGTGGAGAGATGGTCTAGCGGGTAGAGAGATGGTCTAGTGGGTGGAGAGATGGTCTAGTGGGTGGAGAGAGTGGGTGGAGAGTAGGTCTAGTGGGTGGAGAGATGGTCTAGTGGGTGGAGAGAGTGGGTGGAGAGATGGTCTAGTGGGTGGAGAGATGGTCTAGTGGGTGGAGAGAGTGGGTGGAGAGATGGTCTAGTGGGTGGAGAGATGGTCTAGTGAGTGGAGAGGTTGTCTAGTGGGTGGAGACAGTGGGTGGAGAGATGGTGTAGTGTGTAGACAGTGGGTGGAGAGATGGTCTAGTGGGTGGAGACAGTGGGTGGAGAGATGGTCTAGTGGGTGGAGAGATGGTCTAGCGGGTGGAGAGATGGTCTAGTGGGTGGAGACAGTGGGTGGAGAGATGGTCTAGTGGGTGGAGGGATGGTCTAGTGGGTGGAGAGATGGTCTAGTGGATGGAGAGGTGGTCTAGTGGGTGGAGAGATGGTCTAGTGGGTAGAGAGATGGTCTAGTGGGTGGAGGGATGGTCTAGTGGGTGGAGAGATGGTCTAGTGGATGGAGAGGTGGTCTAGTGGGTGGAGAGACAGTCTAGTGGGTGGAGAGATGGTCTAGTGGGTGGAGGGATGGTCTAGTCGGCTCCGTTATCTCCTTACATGAGTCCCGACTCAGTCAGACCGCTATAGAAGACACGAGGAACGTTCCCACGTCTGAGCAGCAACCTATGGCCATCTGACACGCAGATCTACGATACACGTACACGTACAACGATGAACCCCCCCCCCCCCCCTGACCACCGCGACCCCACCCCCATTGACTCGCGGATGTCAATAGAACCAGTAATCTGCCCCAGCCTCATCAGCCGAGCATGACAAACGGACATCAGCACGAGACGTCGTGACACAGGACGTGGACGTCATGGGGGGGCGTGATGCGGGATGTCATGTGGCGGACGTCATGAGGTGCACGTCATGGGGCGGACGTCATGGTGTGCACGTCATAGGGTGGACGTCATGGGGCTGACGTCACGGGGTGGACGTCATGGGGCTGACGTCATGGGGCAGACCTGACTGACCCCAATGAATGAAACAGGACCTACCGTCCCCGGGTACAGGGGTCTCGTTCAACATCTGGCTGCATTGCTCTGTGGCCCAGCGGATCAGATCGGCCACGTGGGGGTGGTACACCTCACTGTCCACCATCTTCTGGGAGCTGGGCTCTTCACAGCTGGGCTCTTCACAGCTGGGCTCTTCACGGCTGGGCTCTTCACGGCTGGGCTCTTCACGGCTGGGCTCTTTACGGCTGGGCTCTTTACGGCTGGGCTCTTTACGGCTGGGCTCTTCACGGCTGGGCTCTTTACGGCTGGGCTCTTCACAGCTGGGCTCTTCACAGCTGGGCTCTTCACAGCTGGGCTGTTTACAGCTGGGCTCTTCACAGCTGGGCTGTTTACAGCTATTGTAGTCACAAGGGAAAAAACATAGAATTTAATAGAAAATAGGATTCAATAGAATGTTTCAATCAAGTATTTAAAAAAACTTTGAATTAGAGTGAAATAGGCATAAGACATATAATTTGCTATCCTGAATTGGTTGCAAGAATAGTTGAACCACGTTTACTGCCATATCTCCCACGCTTATGACATTATAAAGCATAGGATCAAGACCAAAAACCGACACTGTACAAAAGCCGTCACGCTACTAATGCCGATAGGCACGTCCACAATACACACTAGGTAAAGGCGGATATTAAAATCTTAAAAAAAAACACAGTCAATTGTCCATATTTCTTTGTAATTAATTTTGTACCAAGTATTCAAATAAATATGCAACAACAGTTGAGGCTACTACTTTTTACTGCTTTTAAATCCTAATATATAAAAGCCCATGTGCGCAATTCTGTCTCTCTCTCTCTCTCTCTCTCTCTCTCTCTCTGTCCGCAAAATAATTTCACAGGCTATGATATCAGTATCTTCAGCGATATATGGAGAACTTGATACGGACTTTTGTTGAAAATAATATGTTAGATGTTTTAAAAGTATAAACAACATTTTATTTAAAGAAGAAAAATAAAAAATAAAGGCATATTCGAATGTAGAAAATTTTTTTTAATTATGCAACCGGAAAATTGTTTATAGTTGTGACAAGAACGCAATAAACAATGACTTAGACTCTAGATAGATCTAGATTTAGATCTAGACTATCTAGATCTAGAATCTATTCCAATAATACATTTCTATACTAAACTATTTCAGGCCTTAATTGTGTTATAAAAATCTTTGTTTAGCTATGGAATTGGCTAATTTGGAATAAAATTTAGTTTGAATTAATAGGGCCTATTTGCGTAAGTGAAGTTTCTTAACTACCTCTTTTATTCTTCATGATTCCTGAGGTGTCAAATTAGCTGAGATGATAGTGCAATTGATACCATGCCTGTGGCACGGGTTCGAGACACAACAATTTCAATCTTGTTTTTTCAATTTTTTTTTTAATATGTGAATGATACAGATGCTTATCAGGACTTGGCGGGACACGGGGCAGGTGAAGTAGAGTTCACCTGTTAATGTATTTTTAGCATATGAAGGGATAGTGTGGTCAGAGCCATGCTCAGCCGAAATAGGGTTTTTTTTAAAGACAAAAACAACACAACTACCATAGAACAGCCGGGTTTTTAACGAAATCTTTTAAGTCTCTTAATTTTAAGTCTCTTGATCAGCGAGTGCATTTAATATGTTTTTGTGTTGACTAATACTGTATACAATTTTGTTTTAATTTTTCTAATAGGTATTGGTAGTCTATGTTATTTGAAACAATATAAAATATAAACATAGACAGTACATTAAACAAAACCCCTTTTTTTTTGCATAATCTTAACAATGTTTCATTCCAATGCTCTTGATCAATAAAATGTTTCTTTTACTAAGTTTTTAAAGCTGAATTACAATTTATTTCATTACTCACTTTCCGTAGATATATACATTTTCTTCAGGCATCTCTACTGTTTCTTCCCCTTTCACCTCCGAACGAAATTGAAAAAAGTAATTTAAAAAAAATAATTAAAAATCCGGAATCCGCTATCCCCCCCCCCCCCCCCAACGCACACATATCCCCCACATCTCCTCCGGACAGTTTTAAATGCCCTTCTCCGGAGATAAATATCTAAAAGAAAAACCGGGTAGCCTATTTGTAAAGAGGAGAGAGCTAAAAGTCACCAGAATTGCCCGTAACGGGTATCGATGGCTAGTATACAGAGTTTCTTCCAGGCATCTACGCCCCCTTCCCCCCCCCCCCCCCAATCCCGAAGAAAGTCTACTCCCCCCCATAACGAAGTGGAATTTATATAGAAAAAATATTTTTTAACAGTGGTTCCGCCCCCCCCCCACCCCGAAAATTTGAAGTCGTCCCCCCCCCCCCCCCAGAGAAAAAAGTCTGGAAGAAACACTGCTGGTATAACAATAACACACTAAAGCTGTGAAATTGTTCACTGTTGAAGATAGTCGTCACACTTTCAAAACCCCCAATCCCCCTTTCGGTAGCATATATCCCTTACCCCCACCCACCTACCCCACCTTCGTAGTATATATCTAACACCCCACACGGCACAGAAGTATGAAGTTGACACGAATCATGACGTCAAGGGTTCCGCCCTTGAGAAATATGACGATACCGACACGTATAATCTCCCCTGGCGCACTTTATTACTACGTTAATTTATCGCGCTGTCGAATTTGAACTGTCGTCATAGTTCTATCGTCCGCACTGACAACATCCGATCGCCAATCACTTGAGTCGAGTGTGTGTCTTGACCTCCGCCCAACACCTGGGGTTATGTGAGCCGAGGGCTAGAACCACTGCTCTAACCCAACAGTAAACACCAACAAAGCTTAATCTCACAATCTCAGGTCGTCACCTACAGAGGTCGTCACCTACAGAAGTCTTACTGGACAAATACAGAAATTTTAAGGGGCATATGTAGAAATTTTATCGGGCTTATGCAGAAATTTTATGGGGCATATACAGAAGTTTTATGGGGCATTTGCAGACATTTTATGGGGCATATACAGAGGTTTTATTGGGCATATGTAAGCATTTTATGGGGCATATGCAGAAGTTCAAACGGGTGTGTTTAATGTCCGTCCGTGTAATCAAGCAATAATGGCAACATGTGTAATCTATAATATAAGCGGGCTTGTAGTGTGTCAGTCCTTCCTTCCTCGTGTCATGGCTATAGCTTTTGGAACCATGAAAGTAAACATCGCACCATTTTTAAAATTTTTTTTTAGGGTCAGTGTAATTGTTTTAATGGGGATCAGGTTTAGGGTATGTGAGTGTAGTGGTTGGGATAACTGTATTTTCTGTTTGTTAATGCAGTGCTTTTCAGTGCATCGCAACGTCTTATTATAAGTAATTTAGTAGGGTTTGTTTATATAACGACTTAAATTTATTTTATAGTTGCCACAGTTTTTACTCTTTCGCATAACGTAAAGAAAATATTAAATACACGTATATTGCTAAAACATATTCAACGGATCAATGTCAAATATTATTTTCGTTTAGATTCCGAAAAAAAGTGGATACATTTTTATGACAGTATGGTCGAAAAAACGAATTGATTCAAGTAGTTTTTTTGTTGTTGTAATTTTTCCAAGTGAGGTAATTTTAAAATAAATTCAACTCACTCTCTATAATTTAAGTTAATTTTTTGTATTACTACCGCATTGATTGTTATATGTTAAGGTTCACAATTAAAATAGAAAAATGTTAAGATTATTTATATTATTTTCTAATTAGTCTATGATCTCTCAAAATCACTATTTTTTGTTTTTGTTTTTCGGTGTTATTAAAACATGGTGATGTTAGACTTACAGAGAATGCTGGAAAGGCTCTCTTTGGGCGCGGACGCCTAGGAAAGCGTGTGGTTCGGTGGTGATTCTAATGTTGTGGTTGTGTTGTGGTTGTGTTGTGGTGTGTTGTGGTTGTGGTTGTGTTTTTTTGTGTTTGTGTTTTTGTTTGTTTTGTTCTGTTCCCAAGTTGGTACATTTAAGAAAGATTTACCGTGGCGGAGCACGGGTATGCAGCTAGTCAAACAATATTGGCGGCATGTGTAATCAAACAATATTAGCGACATGTGTAATCAAACAATATAGTAATGTAATAACATGTAACTTGTAATATAAAAAACAACGGCGTGGTGTAATCCACCGACATGAGTTGGATGTAATGACCCGCCATTGTGACCTGGAGTCCCCGCCCTCCCCTCCATGCGGCAGGTCTAAGTGAATAATAGAGCAGAAGTGATCTGGGCAGTGCAGCAGTGTCTGGGCCCATTAGCACGTGATGGATGAGCGGGCCGCCAGACACGGAACAAAGCTATCACTTCTGCCACAAGACAAAGTTCTGCTCAAATCATCAGCCAAATGGCCAGATAAACGTCACAATTTTTGGTCGAAAATAAATTATTTTGGCTCCAAATTTAAAAAAAAAAAGATTTATTAGGTAAAAAAAAATCGTTCATTTAGCTATAGGTAAAATTTTAAGGACAAAAAGATAAAGACACAAAACTAGCCTGATCATTTTTAAGTCAACATGGTCAACAAAACAGGTCTACGACAATTCCCGAAAGACATTTGTCCTTCGGGCAAATGTTTCTCGGGAATTTGTCGCATTCGGCCAATCGTCCATTCGAACGTTTGTCGCATTCTGGCAAGTGTCCATTCGGGAAAAATGGCGTAGGGTACGTGTCAGGCTCCCGTACAAAACAGACGGATGCACAACGCGGATCAGTTGATGTTGACTGACAGACGGCAAATGTTACCGTAGACGGCAAATGTTCGGCAAATGTTACCGTAGACGGCAAATGTTACCGTAGACGGCAAATGTTACCGTAGACGGCTAAGGTTACCGTAGACGGCTAAGGTTACCGTAGACGGCTAAGGTTACCGTAGACGGCTAAGGTTACCGTAGACGGCTAAGGTTACCGTAGACGGCTAAGGTTACCGTAGACGGCTAAGGTTACCGTAGACGGCAAATGTTACCGTAGACGTCGGGTTTTGACAAAAGTTTTCAAATATGGTCTAGTGGAGCCCCGGCCTAGTGGAGCCCCGGCCCAGTGGAGCCCCGGCCTAGGGAAGCCCCGGCCTAGTGGAGCCCCGGCCTAGTGGAGCCCCGGCCTAGTGGAGCCCCGGCCTAGTGGAGCCCCGGCCCAGTGGAGCCCCGGCCCAGTGGAGCCCCGGCCTAGGGAAGCCCCGGCCTAGTGGAGCCCCGGCCTAGTGGAGCCCCGGCCTAGTAGAGCCCCGGCCTAGTGGAGCCCCGGCCCAGTGGAGCCCCGGCCTAGGGAAGCCCCGGCCTAGTGGAGCCCCGGCCTAGTGGAGCCCCGGCCTAGTGGAGCCCCGGCCTAGTGGAGCCCCGGCCCAGTGGAGCCCCGGCCCAGTGGAGCCCCGGCCTAGGGAAGCCCCG